CTTAAGATTATTTTGTTGCTACTTCATGACTGCAATCTTGCTACTGCTATTAACTGTAATGTAAATACCTGATATGCAGGATATCTGACCTGTGACCCCTGTGAAAGGGTTGTTCTAGCCCCAAAGGGGTCACAAAAGGGTCATGGTTCTCAGGTCACTTATTCTGCTGCCCGTTCATCTCCCTCCAGGGACTTCAGGTCGCCTCCCAGCATAGTCTTTGAGCTCAGTGACCAAACTCCGCATCCAGTTTCCCTTCCTTTCTTCCTGCCCTCTATCTGCGTGAAATGTAGGAATTTGGAGCACAATGCATAATGGGGGGGGGCATATGCCTAGTGGATCTCCCATGGTGGGGAATTGTGAGACCCAGCCATGACAAGTTCAGTAGAGGCCAGAGTCTCAGCAGTTTACCCTGGTTCCAAGAAAGATCACAAACTGAGACTAACCAGGCATCACCCAGGAACAGACCATCCAAAAAAATTCCTAACATTCCAACCGTTGGAGATAGGATCACCTGCTAGCTCCCACCCATCGCTTTTCACCAGGACACCCCTAGACAAATGTCAACCAATCAGGAGTCCTGAACCTTAGAAATCCCTCACCCCCACCTTTGCTACTACAAAAACCCAACCCCAACTGAGCTTGGGGCTCTCCAACCACTCCAATATGATGGCCACATGGGGAGTCCGAGTTTGCAGACTTGTGTACGAATAAAGGCTCTTGCTTTTACATACAGGACTCGGTCTCCAGTTGGTTTTGGGGGGACTCTGTGAGCTGGGCATAGCGTTATTACAACAGCCAATACTTCTCTGGCTTTCATAGCCTTGGGTTCTATCTAACAAGAAGTCTAGAAAATGTGGGCTATTCACTTCCTGGGCGAAATCTCAGCTCCTAAATTTCCAGATGCCCTGGCAGTGCAGGGAGGGAGGTAATGTAGGTTGACTTGTCTGGCTTGGCAGGCCTCCCTGCAAAATCAGCTCTGTCTTAGGAATGGACAGGATTTCCTCTGCAGACTTAAGCAGAAGCCGACGAGGACGGGACTGACCACAAAAGGCATCCAGAGTGCCAACTTCCTTTATTCCAGCTTTGCTGGTTGGGTACATAGGATTGAACTGGAAGAAAATAAGCCAGCAGCACTACCTGACCCTAGTAGATAGAAATCTGAATCACAAAAGCTGCGTTTGCAGTGGGAGCATTTCTGCCTAAGGAAGGCTCTTCCAACAGCAGAGGATTGACAAGGGCCACCCCTGGAAGAACTAGGAGCAGAGATCACGTGTGTTTTTCCACCTTCAGGTCTGTTGCAGTGGACTGGGCTAGGACCAGCAGGCCAGCAGGCCAGCAGGCCAGCTGTAGTAATAAGGAAGCAATAAGATAGGCCGAATGAATCAAGCTTGGTCAAAAGGTGCCTTAGGTTCTGTCTCTTAGCTGAGTGATCTGAGGCAATTTATATCTTTCCGGGTTTTTTGAGACTGGGCTCATGTACCTCATGAGTGTTGAACTTTTTTTATAACCAAAGATAACTTTGAACTCTTGATTCATTTGCTTCTGCCTCCTAAGAGCTGGGATTACAGATGTGTGCAAACCACTTTGTACATACTAGGCAAGTACTCTACCAACACCCCCAGCCCTTAAGTGAACTGGTTAGGCAGAACATACAACCTGCAAAATGCAAACAGTACCACCCAGTCTGAGGCTGGCTAGGACCATACATTAGTATTAGAACCAGTCCTCTTGGAAAAAGTAGGAAGTTCAGCTTGGTTTGGGATATACAGACTTCTCTACCAAGGTCCAAACAGAAATAGTGGGAGAACTTTTTCTGTATGTTGTTTTGCTGCCATATCAAAAAGTCCATATTTGACAAATACTTAAAGCACAAAGGATGCTTCTAGAGTCAGTTTCCACAAAGCTTCTAGTATTCTCTATCAGAATACTTTTATATGGTAAAGCTTAATGTGGTTAAAGTAAAGTTAATGACTAACTTTATTCTAACACCAGAGGAATTACAAAGGAACATGCCAAAGCATGATTTAAATTTTGGTTTGTGGCTGACAAGAAGTTTAGCAGGCAAGAGCGAGCGCTGGCTGCTCGTGCACGGGACTCAGATTCTATCCCCAGCAGCCATGTGACAGCTCACAACTTTGGAACTTCTGTTCCGAGGATCCCAAGCCCTCACTGGCCACCACAGATATGTTATGCACATGCTCCATAGATATACATGCAAACAAAACACCCATACACATAAAATAAAATAAAAATATGTAAATGTGAGAGTCAGATGCAGTGAGGCACAAGTGTAATTCTGACGGACAGAAGACGGGGATTGCCAGCCAAGGCTTTGGGGTCATCCTAGGCTACATAGTGAGTTCCAGTTAGCCTGGGCTACAAAGAGAGACCTCTCAAAAATAAACAAACAAAACTATTATTTTAAGGTTTGAATTTGAGGTTAGTTTATGTTAATACCCATTTTACTAGAAGAAAAACCCACTGCCCACTCTGTACTTAACCCCTGCAGGACTGGGTGGGCACATGCCTTTTCTATAAGTAAGAAACTGACTTTTCTCAAATTAATTGACACAAACTAGACTAGATAAGTAATACTGTCTAAATTTAGGATGTACAATATGATGTGTCGGCAAATGCCTTTCCACAGGCAGATTATTGGGTCTGTCATCAGTCAGCTCAAGCGTCACCGTGTCTGTCTGTATGCAGGTATTTTCACGGTGAGAACACTGGAGACTACTGCTTAAGGGACCCGGGGAGGCCGCTCACTGGGTAAGTGTTGTGTAAACCTGGGGGGGCATGGGCACCCATTAAAAACTGGAGGTAAGCAGATCCTACGATTTCATTGGTTGGCCAGCCTAACCCAATACTTGAGAGATCCTGCTTCACAGGGATAGAGGGAGAGCAATAGAGAGAAACACAGGGAGAGCAATAGAGAGAGAGACACAGGGGGAGAAGAATAGAGAGAGAGACAGGGAGAGAACAATAGAGAAAAACATGGGTAGAGCAATAGAGGGGGGAGAGCAATATAGAGACACACAGGGGGAGAGCAATAGAGAGAGACACACACAGGGGGAGAGCAATAGAGAGAGACACACACAGGGGGAGAGCAATAGAGAGAGACATTTGACACCTTCCTCGAGTTTCCATGCATATGTGTGCATGTGTAGCCCACATGCACACTCACACAAGTTTTACTCCTGAAGACTGGGAGGCACACACCCACAATCCTGGCATTGGAAAGCTGAGGCATTGGAAAGCTGAGGCATGTGGATGCAGGGTTTGAGGCCAGCCTGGGCTCAAAAGTAAGACCTTGATCAAAATAGCGCAAATATACAGATGGTATATATATGGTGTGTATTCTGTTAGAAAATCTTGTGTACATGATACAGTATTGTTGTCTATAGTCTCAGGTGTATATTATGCCCCAAAACTATTTACTCACATCTAAAAATTTATATTCTTTGACAAAACTTTTGTCAATAACTACACTCTGCCCTGCTTTGTGAATTTGACTTTGTTGATTTCAACTAGTAGATTGCACAGTGTTTGCTTTTGTTCGACCCTTCGCTGTGGCATGAGGCGGGAGCTCCCATTTAAAGTTCAGCCTTCCTAGAAAACACTTGCCAGAGGAAGGTGGTTACTACAGACTCACAGCCGCTCTACGGGCTGAGCCTGAGTGACTGTTGTCACCTTCCCCAAGACACCACAGAGCGGGAGCTGGGAGAATTCACTGGCTGGAGGATGGGGAGGCAGGCTGTGAAAAGCTTCCAGACACAACCTGGCCAGTGTGCTCGTGAACTCACAGCTGCTGTAGCTCCCTAGTTCCCTATTCATAAGACTGGATCAGCCAACACTCTGTCATGGGGAGAACTGGGGGGAGCATTCATGGGTCACACCCCTTCCTGGGGAGCTCTTGGCAGTTAATAATTGCTGGAGTAAGGGGAGATGTTGTCGGGGTTTCTGTCCTACCCAGTTCCCATAGTCATTAAGTCCCAAAGAAATCACACAGAGGTCTACATTAACTATAAACTGATTGGCCCATTAACTCAGGCTTCTTATTAACTCTTAGAACTTATATTAGCCCATTATTCTAGTATATGCTAGACACATGGTTCAGTACCTTTTTCAGCAAGGCAGTCACATCTTGCTTCTTCTGTGGCAGGCTCACAACTGCAGAGGAATGGGCTTCCTTCTTCCCAGAATTCTCCTGTTCTCACTGATCTGCCTCTACTTCCTGTCTGGTTGTCCCACCTATACTTCCTGCCTGGCTACTGGCCAATCAGCGTTTATTTAAAATATAATTGACAGGATATAGACAATTGTCCTGCACCAGGGAGATATTTCTTCAGTGGTGTCTCCTCATGGGTTAACAGCTTATGTGCCAGTAAATGTCCACTCAACCATGATCTTGTAAGAAACCTCAGTAAAATCCATCAGGCCAAGTGAACTCATTGCATGCACATACACATGTACACACGCACACATACATACACACACATGCACTGCACACACACATTCTCTCACAAACACGCACATGTGTGCGCACATATGTACACACGTGCACAAAGACATAAAAGTAGATGGGGCTCAGTGGAAGAGAAAAGAGGGACAAGAGAAAGTAATGTGAGGAGAGCATGACCTAATAATCTACATACATGTCTGAAACTGTCAGTCAACTTAATTTTAAAACAAACCTAAAAGGAGATAAATGTCAAGAGGTGGGAGTGTGTATGTACTATTGTTTATTCCCATGCAGCTTTAAAATGCTAACCTGAGATAAAAATTAGCCAGCAGTGCCTACTATTGGGAATAAACCAGTTATTCCCTAGACGTAAGTCCTCCCATTCATCCAAAATCGCTTATTGAGAGCCTGTAACATGCTGGACCCTCGTTACCGTGGCAGCAGATAGCGGTAGACCACTGAGGAATTCCCATAAGGTCCTTCTTCCCCTCACCTCCCGGAGTGAGCAAGGCCTGGCCTCCCTCCGTAGAGAACTTACATTTACGTGTCCGTTCTGCACCAGTCGTGTGGAAAGCTTGACGAACACGGCCAGGGACACACAGAACAGGACGAGGCTCAGGCACATGTCCAGGACTTGAAGGGTCAGGTGATACTCTTCATAGTGGAGCGGGTCCGCACAGACTGATGGGAACGCCGTGTACGGGAAAGGAAAGGTAACGGCGTAACCAAGGTAATTGGTCCCTGCAGCTCCTGAAAAGGAGTAGAAGCAATATGGACCAAGGAGAGCAGATTCCAAGGCTATTGCAAAATGAAGTGGGCATCCCATGATGCTCAGAACTGCAAAGGTGAAGCCAGCTTCCCACTGGAAATGAGCAGAAAAAAGCTGTTACTTAGAAGACGAGTCGGTGGCCCTCAGTCTCCCCTACAAGGTGAAGGAGAAACATGCACAACTTTCATATCTCATCTACTTTGAGTCAGAGTCTCCTGTAGCCCAGGCTAGCCTCAGATTTCTGTGTTGCTAAGGGTGGTCTTGAACTCTTGGTCTTTCCTGCTTCTACATCCCAAGTGCCACATTGGATTCCCGCCCCCCCCACACACACCCTCATCCCCAGTGCCACCATTTCAAATTTAGACCCAAGACCTCCTTATGCGGCTAGACCAACAAACACTCCACGATTGGGTGCCACGCCCAGTCCCCTCAGCCTTCCGGTTAGGACCTGTTCCTCTTGTGCCAATCTAGGCTACAAGAGGAAACCATGTCAGCCAATTGGAGCTAAAATGAAATCAATTCAATAAATATTTGCTTATTCCCTATCGTGTACAGAGGGCCAGCTGGCGTTGGGGAAACAAGGCCCTCTCTAGGACCGTGGTACTCAGGATGCCATCTGTGCCTGGGTCGCGCGACACTGCAGAAGAGCCTCTCAGAAGGGCAGCCTCTCAGACCTCATCCACACCTTCACCAGAGCCTGTGCGCTAGCCCAAGCTCCAGCCGACCCACTATAGCCTGTGCCGCGGAAAGGAGACCTGGAATCAGAGACCACAGTCTTCCTGTATCCTGGAAAGAGCTGGCTTGGTGCTGTTAAACACTAGCAGACTTGGAGTTCTCATCCTTCCCAGATCTGAGAGAGCTCAGGAGGTGACCTCAGACTGAGGAGTTGAGATATGAACTGCATTATTGAGGCTGGGGGTGTAATCCAGTGGGCAGGGTGTTTGTCTGGCAGACACCAAGTCTTGGGTTCAATCTATACACCCCCACACCCCATGGGCACTTACATTATTTAAAGTCGTTTCATTTCTATATTAAACTCTGGGGACCTGACACTGATCCCAAACAATAATCAAGAACTTAGAGAAATTATTTGGAGTAAGAACTGGATAAAAATTATATGCAGAGGACCAGCTGTGTATTATATTAAATTAAATAATATAAATATTATATTATATGTAAAAAAATATAGTTTATAAAATTGGGCAAAGTGGCACATGTAATCCCAGAACTTGGAAGACGGAAGGAAGGTTAGAAATTTGAGGTCATCATCAGCTATATGGCAAGTTCAAGGACAATACACGACTTCACACGTGCACACACACACACACACACACACACACACACACACACGCACGCACATGCACACGTGACCGCCAAGCCCACTGCACCATCCCTGCCGACACTTTTGCGTTTACCAAGTGTCTCCGGCTCCTCTCTCGGTGAGCAAGCAGCACAAGTGCCCCAGCTGTGATGGCCTGTGTAGAGAAAATTGGGAAAAAATAACATCCTCAGTCGAAGGGACCTCTGCAAGGAGTTCCATCTGCCTCACAGCTTGACAACTTTATCACAAGCTGGAAGGCAGGGCAAGGGGTGAAATGGATTTACGGCTCTGATCCCGTCTTCATCTGTGGGAGGAACGGTGTTGACAGGGAGGAAAAGAGCCACTGGAGTCACCGGACGCGAGTCACAGCCGCTCATTTCCATCGCTGGGCTGCCTTCTCCTCAGGGCCACCACCTCTGAGGCTGTCAGGTCGCCGCAGCTAAATCTCACCTCGCAGATCTTGCCCTCTGCTTTGTGTGGTGGTTGGAATGAGAAAAGCCCCCAATGGGCTAGTGGGTTTGGTCACTTGGTTCCAAGCTGGTGGTGTTGTTTGGGAAGGGTCTAGACTCTTTAGGAACGGCAGCCTTGCCGGAGGGAGTATGTAAAGCCCACTGGGGGTGCGGCTGGAGGGGTTATAGTCTTGCCCCACTTCCTGCTTGCTCCCTCTGCTTTCTGCTTTCTGTGTGGGGGCAAAAAAAATGTACAGAGCCAATTTCGTCCTCCTGCTGACATGCCACACATTTTCTGCCATCGTAGACTCTGGAACCATAAGCCAAAATAAACCTCGAAGTTGCTTTCGGTTGTGGTATTTTTTAATCACAGCAATAGAAAAGTAACACACACAAATTTTAAGGATTTTTTAATAATTATTTATCTTTATTTGCCTCCCCTCCCCCGTGAGTGTTTGTGTGTGTGTGTGTGTGTGTGTGTGTGTGTGTGTGTGTATTGGTTCTGTGCTTCTACCATGTAAGTCCCGGGAACTGAACTCAGGGAGACAGGCTTGGCTGCAAACATCTTTACTCACTGAGCCATGTTGCCACCCCAGCATTCTGGTTTTCATCTTCCCAGATGGGACAGCCTGAAATGGAGACCTGTCTCCAAGGCCTGAATCATCCCCAGCCCTGGTCTGGTTTTCCACAGCTTCCTTTCATTTTATTTTGTGGCCTTGACCTGCTGAGGGGATGCAGACCTGTGACCTCTGTTTCCTAAGTCACGAAGACAGTCGTTAGGATGGACGTGCAACAAGGTCTTAGTGTTCCAGTCGCTGTCGCGTCTGCTCTGATGAAAAGCTTTTCTCTACAGTCCACGTTTAAAGAAAGAGACCCAAAGTGCAGAGAGAAAATAGTTAATAAGGAGGGGACGGTGTGTCCAGAATGCCCCAGTAGATAATGGAAAAAGAATTTCTGAGCTCATCTTGGATTCATCGTGAGGTCTGGTGAAGGAGCCGTTTGTGGTTCTTGAGACTAGAAATCACTTATCCCCAAACCACAGAAATCCTTCTTCTCAATCAAAGCAAGGGTTTGGAGGTCCAGATAGAAAGCCAGGGAGAGATGAGCCGGGTGTAGAAAGGTTTAAACAGCCCAATTTCGATTCTGACTGAGGACTAAGTATGAATCGCTGGGTCCAGGGGGATGAGAGCTGGCCCGGGCGAGCCAGGGGGATTCTGCTCACAGAGCTCCAAACTTAGTGTATTTACCATTTTGAAACTTGGCTTTAGAGAAACTGGGAGAGGGAGGGAAACTCCTGCTCACCCATGGCTCCAGTTGACGAGCCCAAGATTGCAGACTTGGCATGGGTCTGCCATGAATGTCCCGTGGATAAAAACAGGACCATCTGTAGTCAAAAGAAGTTCCTGGCTTGATTCTGCAAGAGGAACCTTTCCAGGGGGTGTTAAGGAGGCAGTGAAGGCACAAACAGCTCAGCAAACGGGAGAATTACTAAGAGCTGAGCAATGGAGCCTGGGGTTGTCTCAGCTTCCAGACCGACACATGGCTCACCTGTCATCAGTCAGAACCTCAGAAGCAGGAGGGCGGGAGACTGCTCCTGTCCCTTGGCTGGCTCAGCTCTGGAGACAGCAGACATTGTGGGATGCTGAGATTCTAGCTAGCCTTAAGTGTGTTGGCAGGAGTTTCTTTCCTTTTGAAAGTTGAAACACGCTGCAGAATTGCAGTCAGTTTCCTGTTATTTTGGTCACAGCAGCCAGCTTGAATTTTGCCTTGTTGACACACGGCTCTGGAAAAAACTCTTGCACCAAGTAGAAGCCTAGGATGTTTGACTGTTCGGTGACTTTCTACATCCACTTGGCTGATGGGATGGGGCGGAGCACCCCCATCTTCCTGATGCTCACTCCTATGTTTAGATAAGAAGAGGGGAAGAATGAAAGGGGAAGAGATTTGAGAGTAGGGAACAAGAAGGCAAGAGGGAAAAGAAAAGGAGGAAGGAGCAAGCTGTCTGGGAAGCAAAGGGCTGGTGAGTCAGTGGGGTTTAGGGGGGGGACAGGAGCTGAGGAGCCTGCTGCAGGAGAGAGGGCGCTCCCTCCCTCTGCCATGCTATTGGCTGGTTTTCCGGGGTAATTGTGAGCCCATTTTAAGCTGCTTAAGTACAGCATGGAGTTCCCAGAAGCAAATGAATTGAAGGAAGCAATTTTAGAGGCATCATGCGAAGATAGGATATACAACGCAGTCACTTACAAGCATCTATTGTGGGTCTACTACAGCAAGCAGGGAGGTATTCATGAAGCAGACAAAGTAGTGATAGCAAGTCTTCATCCCGACTGAATATAGGGCAGACCCGGCGGGAAGCATGCCAGCGTTCACACGTTGCATCTATACAGTGAGATGTAGTTCTGTTAGCAGCATGCTTTCCCAACACGCAGAAGCCCTGAGCGTGATCCCCAGCCTTACATGAGTCTTCGCACTCGGCACACGGAGGCAGGAGGATCAGAAATTCATTGTCACCCTCTGAGGCCAGCCTGGACTCCCTGAGACCCTGGATTGGTTACTTATTTCTGTCATAAAATACCCTGACAAAAGCGGCTTAAGGGAGGGAGGATTTATTTTGCCTGGCAGTTTCAGGGAGATACTGTCCACTGGGGATGAGAAGACGTGGTGGCATGCTGGGATGACATGACCGGCAGGGAAGAAGACACAGTGGGCAGTGGGAAGGTATGGTGGCAGGTGGGGGAAGAGGTGGTGGCAGGCGGGGAAGGCATGGTATTGAGAGCGGCAGGCTGGCTGGCCACGGTGCATCTATATTTATGATGCAGGTAGTGGACAGGAAGATGGAACTGTCTGTGCCCCAAGCACAAGGTGACCTCTTCACCTCTGCAGATGCTGGTCTCTGGCTGGACCTGCCCATTGCCCGTCTTGGCCGTGGCAATAGAAGCCATCCTTGAGACTTGCTCCAGTCTCTATCACTCCTGTCTTCCTCTTAAAATTAATACCCACATACTTCTAGTGTGCCAAACTTGCATTCTCGTCTACTTTTACTTTATTTCCTTTAGTAAATTTGTTGTTTTGTTTTAGTGTGTGGTGGTGTGGTGTGTGTGTGTATGTATGTAAGGGGGAGAGAGAGAGAGAGAGAGAGAGAGAGAGAGAGAGAGAGAGATCCTCAGAGGTCAGAAGAGATTCATTACACAGACCTCCTGAAGCTGGTGTTTCAAGCAGGTTTGAGCTACCTGCCATGGGTGTTGGAAACAGAACTCAGATCATCTGTAAGAGTTGTATACCTTGCCAGTGCTGACCCTGACACCTATAGATCCCAGCACTGACCCTGCCGCCCTCAGATCTCCAGGACTGACCCTGCCATCCATAGATCCCCAGTGTGGACCCTGTCGCCCATAGATCCCCAGGGCTGACTCTGCTGCCGATAGATCCCAGTGCTGACCCTGCCGTCCATAGATCATCACACTGACCCTGCTGCCCACATATCCCCAGCACTGACCCTGCCATCCATAGATCCCCAGCGCTGACCCTGACACCCATAGATCCCCAGCACTGACCCTGCTGCCCGCAGATCCCAGCACTGACCCTGCTGCCCATAGATCCCCAGTGCTGAGTCTGCCTTCTATAGATCCCCCAGTGTTAATCCTGCCGTCTGTAGATCGCCAGCACTGACCCTCTTATCCATAGTTTCCCCAGCACTGACCCTTCTGCCCATAGATTCCCCCAGCGCTGACCCTGTCTCCCATTGGTTCCCAGTGATTTATCTCCACAGTCTGAAAAGAGACCTACTTTAGCAGAAAGAATTGAGTCAAAGGTCATTCTTGGTTTGAAATTGATTTCCCAACACAAAGAAAGGGAAATTGGAGAAGAAAGAATTGGTTTGGATGACGAGATGACTAATTTGTTTTTAGGCAGGATGACTAAAAAGAAGCTTGGACTATTCAAGTGGGAAACTAACCGCTGACAAAGATGGATTTGCTTACTCCAACCAGCCGAACTGCCAGACTCAGCACTTCCTTGTAAGAGCTTACTGGGGACCTGTGAATGAGATGGCTCAGCAGGTAAGGGCTCTTGCTGCCAAACTGAAGGCCTGAGTTTGACCCCCACATGGTGACGGAGAGAACTGGCTGCCGAATGCTGTTCTCTGACTCCCACAATTGCACAGGGGCACCCATGTGCATTCATATACACAATAAATGAATTAAAAGACAGTAGTGGGTAAATAAAAACACTTAACCAAGGTGTTTGATTAACCGTGTGTTTGATCTCTTTATCCTTTGGGATCACCCTGCAGACAATGTCTGATCACCTAGTCTGCCCTCAGCAAAAATCCCCATAATTTCTCCTTACTGTTTGCTCTGTGTAATTTCCCCTGCCCCCTCCCAGCTCCTTGGCCTACATTCTCTGCTGTGCTGCAGCATCTGGAGTCCAACCTGGTCCTGTGCGAAGCTCTCTTTCTCTATTCTGCATTAGTACTGAATAAACTCTGTTTTGATTACTTTAACCACTGCCAAACATTGTCTCTCCTTTGCTACTGTCTGGTAAATGGTAGTTCCATGACTGCTAAGCCCCCACACAGCCGAGCCCCCTCTACAACAGTTGAGAAGCCTACTCAGCAGGGCTCAAGGGGAACCCTGATCTTGTACTAGCAAAGCTCTGGAAGTTAGGCTGTGGCTTGTTTGTGGCCAAGACCCTGACTCTCTACATGTAGATTCTTTGACTGGATGCATGGGATCCATGTCTTCACCAGAGCCGGCTTTTCAGGCCATGTGTTTATGGATCCACTGTCTTCATCAGAGACGGCTCTGTGGGCCATGTGTTCACAGGATCCAGTCCCTTCATCAGAGATGGCTTTGCAGGACATGTGTTCAGGGTTAATAGGGCTCAGTTCTGGAGGACATTTGACCTTCTGGTTGCATGCTTCCTAGCAGGTGATGCCTTTAAATAGCCTTGCTCAGACATCCTAGGAAAATTGTGTGTCATGTGGCTTTAGAGCAGAATTAGGAGGGTGTGAACCAAAATGCTGGTTGGACTTTAGAAAGTCTTGAATAACAGCTTTGGACAAATACAAGGAACTGTACCACTTGCAAAGATTTCTCTCTTTCCCACCTCAAAAGAAATACAAAGCCATTTGTAAGGGAGATGGCAATATGACTGAAATTTCCAAGTCATCTTTCACTGGAGGAAGATGTGTCTCAGCGGCAATTAAAGAAGTGATTGGCAGGGGTGGTGTGGAAAAGGCAGCGGCCTTGTGAAGCTGACCTTGATCAGACAAAACTGTAGCTTAGTAAGATATCCAAGAGGAAAAAAAATGATTGCTGCTCCAGATTTAGACATGAGAGACGTGGGCACTCTTCCGCTTCCTTCTGGGGTTTCTTCTGCACAGACCCCAGCCTTGCCTGTCGTCCTCACGACCCAGCCAGAGTTCAGCGCCACAACAGTCTGTTGCCAGAATGCAGGGACCGGGAGAGATCTACGCAGTCAAGAGTTTCCATCAAATGCTACTTTTGTTCAAACTCTAGCAGGTGGCTGTCTTTGTTCTAAGCTCTGGAGAGAGAGAAGCAGAACCCTGTCCTTGTGTAATGCCCTGTAGGGAGTTAAGCCATACAGCAGTGTAGATGGGGTGGACCCACAGGCTTGGGAACCGCGGACAGGGGCAGGGTAACAGTTTTAAAGATGCCTTTCGCATTTGTTTTATTTATTTATCTTGTGTGGTGTTCGGGGAGTGGGCACATGGGAACCATAGCACACAAGCGGAGGTCAGAGGACCTCTGCCGGGAGGTGGCTCTCTGCTTCTACCGTGTGGGTTCCAGGTATCGAACTTGAGTCTTCCAGCTCCATGACAAGCACTTTTACCTGCTGGGTCATCTCTGCTGGCCTCTAGGGGTTGCAGTGTGAATAGCGTGAAAGAGGGAAGACACTGATGGGAAAGCGGTGTTTGATTGATAATCGATGGTGGGAAGCTGGGTGGGGCGCTGTGGCCTTGAAGCGTGAAGCCCTGGACTGGACCTCCAGGACTGCGGAAGCTGAGCGTGGTGGTGTTTGCTTGTCACTCCAGCACTGGGAAGGTGGAAGTAGGAAGGTCAGGAGCCCTAGGCTTCATCGAGAGTTCTAGAACAGCCTGAGACACCTGAGATCCTGCCTTTGAAAAAGCGGTTTGGGAGCCAGCCAGATACAGAAAGATTTTAGACAAAGAGACCCCAGAGCAAAGGGCCTGGGTGAAGCACACCTTGGCATTTTTGAAATGGCAGCCTTGAATGTGAAGGGGAAGATGTAAACTAAGAACTGGCTGGCGATGAGGTCCAGGAAGCAGGATGACAGAGCAGGGCTCGTAGCAAGTGGGTAAGAAGAGAGAGTTTAGGCAGGGCACACAGTATGGGAAGGGCTTGGTGTTAGCAACAGAGTATGAAGTCTTTGCTCAAATTGCCTTCACCCTCACCAAGTGTCTTAGGGTTAGATAGTTGTTCATGTGGTCTCTTTATACCCATGAATGTACCCACAGCACAGGAGAGAGCAAGAAGGAGCTAGCTGGCCAAGACGCCTGCTTCAGACCAAGTAGTAAGAACATTAAAACCAGAACTTGAACACAGGCTACTTCCCTACCCCTTGTGCCTCTGACTCTGGGCCCAACCCCAGCCAGCCCCGCTCCACCTCCTGTAGCCACTCAGTGGCATGTTAGAGACACACATGCCGTTTCTCTTGGCCTATGCCTGACATATATGCTCAGCCTGCACCAAATGTACATAATCTTAGTCCAAACTACGCCCAGTGTGTTGACACAAGCTTGACAGGGATGGAAAACTGTAGAACAATCAGCCTCGCTGTGTAGCCCAGGCTAGCCTCCAGCTCCCATCCCTCCCCAGTCTCCCAGGAGCTGGGGTCACAGATCTATGCCACCAGGCCCCATAAGAATATTTTTAACATTTCATTGTATACATGACACACAGATACATACAAAACAATGCTAAGAAAAGTGGCATGCTTAAAATTAAATTCATAGAAATTCCTCCTCCCAATTCAGGAGTACGGGTTTCTGCAGGGTATAAACTTCTTTGAATTATTGGAAAACTCTTAACTGACATATTTTACTTCCCCTTGCCTCTCATCTCCCTTTCCGTCAGTGTGCTAATGAAATATGTCCTACCAAAGCCCCGTTCCAGATGGGACAGGCGATCCAAACGCTCCATCCTGCATACTGGAGCTTGCAGGAGAAGACAGGGAAGAAGGCAAGCACTCCAGAGAGGATGCTGAGGCTCCCTAGAGTAAGCAGAGTCCTGCCAGCAGCCTGGTAGGGGTCCTTCATCTTCCTCCCTGACTTGAGTCTTTGCTCTGAGATAATTTGTTACCACAACACAAGGGCAAGCCAGCCCTCCGTAAACATAAGTTTCTTAGAGACTGTAACTGGGATGACTGCAAACACAGGCAACAAGTTCCTGCAGACATCAGTCCCCGCTTCTCCAAAGGTGAACGGAGGGCATGCTCGAGCCCTGGATGTGAGTTGGACAGGATCAACTCTAACACTGTCTTTTTTCAGAGAGAGTGGGGGCTGATTTCTCATTTTGGAGTGGCTGCCTTGACTCCCTTCTGCTGTGTTCTGGGGAGTGACCACTTCCTGGCTTAATCAGATTCAAAGGCTCAGGGACGGAGCTAATTGTTTCTGAGCTCAACCTGCCTGGTGGTTATAGTATAAAGCCAACATCCTCTTGCACAATAGAACCACATTCCCAGCAAGAGTTCCCACAAAGCAAGGCAAGAACCACACAGCCAACCACTTTTCCCTTTTCGTTATATTTAATTTAAACAGTTTATGCAAACAAGCCTTTCCTTCCCAAGTTTAACTTGATATAATTATTTATTATTATTACTTTAGGCAAGGTCTGGGAACTTGCTATGGAGACCAGGCTGGCCCTGAATCTTCAGGGATTGTCCTGCCTCTGTCTACCGAGGGCTGATATTATAGGCACAATGCTCAGCTACTTCCAGTCTTTTAAATTACATCTATTGGTGCTGGAGAGGTAGCTTACTGGTTAAGAGCACTGACTGCTCTTCCAGAGAACCTGGGTTCAATTCCCAGCATTCATTTGGTGGCTCACAACTGTCTATAACTCCAGTCTCAGGGAAGCTGATACCCTCTTCTGGCATCCTTGGGCACCAGGCATACATGTGGTATGCATACATAAAATAGTTATACATATTACTCGTGTGTGTGTGTGTGTGTGTGTGTGTGTGCGCGCGCACGCGCACGCGCTCATGCACGCATGTTGTTTTGAAGGGGGATGCTCATGCCATAGTATGACAACCTGTAGGAGTCAGTTCTCTTCCTCCCCCATGTTGGGCCTGGCTTTGAACTTAGGTCTTCAGGCTTGGAGGCCAGTGCTGCCTCATCAGCCCAGAACATGGGTTTAAAGTCAGGCAGAGCAGGGGTCTGATTCTAATTTTACCGTCTGCTGGGTTTGTATCCTGAGGAAGATCAAACTACTTCTGGGTCTGTTTCTTCATGAGAGAAGCAGGAGACACTAATGTTTATCTCACCAGGTGACTGGGTGGGAACGGGTTCAGCTCTCGTGTCGATGCTTAGGGTGGAGCAAGCTGCACACAGAGAACGTCCTGAACTCACCCATCTTCCAGGTTCCTGTGACAGTGGCTCCAATATCATTGATCTTTTTGTCCATCATCTTGAAAACACTAGGCTTGACTTTTGCTGATCAGATTGATGAGGATTTCCGAAAGGCCCTGCTGCATACCGGACAGGGGCGCCTGTCGCTGATTCTCCGCTCCCCGCCACCCCCTTCTGTCTTCTGATCTACAATAGTCATGCCGCAAGCTGACCCAGATTTCAAAACAGCTGTATCCAGATATGCAGGATCCGGGAAAGCTGCTCAGACCGTTTGGCACGGCCGCTGTGCCCTGGATTCTCAGACTGTTTTCTTGCTCCATAAACTAGTGAAGCTCCTGAAGGGCGGAGAACTTGTGAGTCTTAATATGCATGGCCTCTCTGACAGCTTAAGACTGTGTCTTCGGAGCAGATCTACGCTAGTAAACACTTGTTGATTCAATTTATGGAGGTGTTAGCCTGTCCAGTCTGCATTTGGGCCCCATGGAGCAGCACAAAGGTGAATGTATGTGAGTTCAAGTTCACCAGAGCTGAGGCCTTGAGGCCAGCTTGCTCCTTCATGCCCGGGGGAAGGGTCTGGGGAAAGAAAGGTTTGTCTGCATTCATATTTGGTTGAGTTGTTTTGACTTTTTCCTCTACTTCTTATCTCGAGATTACAGCTCTGGGGTGTGCTTGCACGCCCCGGGTCAGCTCAGTCTCTGCTGTTTGCACGTTTGGAAAACAGACTGTTGAAATCCCCTTGTTAAACAGTACACAGTGCAAAGGCTGGCAAACAAAGACGGAATGTTTCCTTTTAATGTGGGGAGATTTTAAGAGCCTATAACATTCCAGATTAACCCAAATGTTGTCCATATAACTTTATTAGTGGTTCAAAGGTGTTACCGCTAAATATGACCACGTAGAAAATGAAGTGGAACTAGGGACATCTCCCTCCATGATTCCCAGAGAGGTTGGACTCATGTTTACCTTGTTAAAATGGGAACAGAAGTGGGTGTTCCCAGCTTCCACTATCAGCCATTCTGTACCTAGGCACCAGCAGCTACCACCACTGGGGAAGCCCCTTCTCCTTCTTGGCACCAATTTTCTAGAGCAGGAATTCTGTAAATTCTTCTAGAAGAAGGCAGAGTTGAAGTCTCTGCACACCTTCCCTTCTCTTCAACCCAAAGAAACCCCAAGATCTTGGCTCAAGGGAGAAGAACGGTGCTGGCTCCACCAGCGTTTCAATCCCACTTTGCCACTAAAGACAAAATGAAAAACAAACCAAAACAGTGTTGGACGTCGCATGCCTGTCCCAGCACTTGGGAGCCTGAGGCCGGAGGATCAGTACTTCCAGATCAGCTTGGATTACACAGCAAATCTCTATCTCAACCAAAATGAAATAAAACAAAAAACAAACAAAAATGGACATTTGAATCCAGCACACCACACACAGTCAAGCAAGGAATCCCAGACTCACAAAGGCTGGATGATGGCAGAGATGCTGAGGGCAACCCTGATTCCACCACCCCGGGCCTTTTTAAGTACATCCCTTCACATATAATCCTTATGAATAACAGCCCTGTGGGTGCTAGAGGCTTAAGGCTTAAAGCTACAGGAGAGATTCATTTATATTAAAAAGAGAAAAGAAAGGAAATGGGGCTCCCAGAGAGAGACGGACTTAAGATATATTTCCCTAGCAGCTTCAGACATCTGTCTTATTTTAGAATTGAGGGGTAGTCACCCGTATAACAGATAGAGCATACACCTGGGGTCGGAAAGGCCTGAGTTTGCTGGCCTGGTAGCACAGACCTATAATTCTAAGGGAGGCAGAGTTGGAGGATCCAGAATTCAAGGTCACCCTTCATCACATAGGAAGTTAGAAACCCAGTTTAGAAAAGTGGGTGGGGGGAGATGGCCCGATGAATAAAGTTCTGGCTGCTCAAGAGTTGAAGACCAGCGGGGGCTGACTGAGAAGCCATTGACAATGGCACTGGGTCTTGTTTT